TACCTGAGATGACTGAAACAGGAAGAGTTTTTGAAAACCAATTTGCTCTCCACTCTTTCTACCTCTTTGTTTGCATTTTCCATTTCTCTCAGCGTGGGGGATGAGGCTCAGTACCAGGCTCATGTTTATCAGTGTTTGACTCTTCAATTGTCACTTTACAGCCCTGTCTGCAGGCCCTGCAGGTGGCACTTGCTTTCCCCTAAAGAAATAGCACCCCCACAATTTTTCTTCCAACTTCTGTCCAAAAAATAAGTAGTACAAGAATGTTTCTGATGGTGTCAGGCTTTGTAATAGTTCATTCATTTCAACCCTAAATTTGAGACTAAATTTGAGTTGGCAGTAGCTCTTTAATATACAGGACCTGTCTTATTACATCTCTGTCTAATGCATATTTGGGAGCTTTCCCTGAAAGCTCTTGTATAAAGGAGTATTATGACATCAGGAAGTCTAAAAGTACCTGAACTGCAGATGTGATAAATTCAGCAGGATGATACGTGCCTGGAATTAGTAGTTACCTTTTTCCATTGGCAAATGGTCGCCTGGGCTCCATCCCCTGGGATAGCTGTAGAGAACAGCCAGTTTGATGAGCCTAACCAGCCATTGGATGTCACTTTGGCTCCACACTAATTCAAGGGAAACAGCATTTATCTGGCAGCCAGGCAGCCAGCTCTTCGGCAGCTGAGAATTTAATTATCAAAGGTTCAGGCGAATCTTGCTATCTCCAACCAGCTGCTGCAGAAAAAGAGACCTTCTGGCCCCATCCAGAAGTTTGTGAATCTCTTGCAAGTTCCCTTTTGCTGTTAAAATGAGTCCCAGCCCATTTGCCCTTTCCTGTGAAAGCTCTGGGCTTGATGCCACCAGAAAAAGGAGAGTGTGAAAATAATACAGTGGGGAAGGGCTCAGGGTGGATGGGGCTGAGCGAGTCAGGAATGGGAGCACTGGGCAGGCTCCAGCTGGTGCTTTGATCCAGCCGTGGAGGCTTGCACTGATAGATGGATGTGGGCACAGCTTCCTCAAACTGCAGGATGTTGTTCTTTCACAGCTTCATTCTGCAGGGCTGGAGCAGAGCTGCTGTCTGGCCTCTGTTCAGGCCAGGAGAGCTGTTTCTGCTGGTGGACCTCAGCCTGAGTGGTCTCAAGGCAAAACACAAGGGCTACACCCACCACATCCTGCTCTTCAGCAATCCAGTGGGAAGGGTGGGGATTGGGGCAGGCTGAAGGCAAAACAAGAAGAGAACAGTCTCTGCAAAGGCAGCTGTTTGCTCACTATTTCTGCAGGAGTAAAGGCCAGAAGATGCACCAGGAAAATAAGTGGAGTAAAAGGTGACACCAAATGAAGCCAACTTGCCCTCCAAGAAAACAAGAGACCAGTGAGTGAAGAATGTGGCAGAGGTGTTGGGCTCATAGGGACTGTCCTGCTCTTCACTCACTGTGCCCCAGTGCCTCAGACACTTGACAGGATTCCCCCACATCTGGGTCCAGGGATCCCTCCATTCCTCTCTCAGCCTTGCTATCAACCACAGTCAGTCCAAAACCAAAGGCTGTTGGTACTCTCCCATATTCTGCTCAATATCCAACTCTAAGTGGGACACTCTAAACCTGAATGAGGTGCCATTTCCTATAGATCCTTTGCACTTCTGTGTCAGGGATGTCCCTGCCCGTCCAGCCCTGCAGTGGCTGGTTAATAATGGGGCCACTTAAGTGCCTATCAGGGAAGTTGGTAACTAATGTGCAAGTGATGCACCTGCTTTTCGTTATTCTCAGGCTCTCTGCAGACACAATCAGACACAATTGGCCATTCTCAAGGCACATTTATCTTTTCAATATGAAGGCAAGAGACTCAATTATCTTGTTCAAAGGCTAAGATTCTGGTGAGCAAATTAGTTATCCTCCCCATTCTTCTTCAAAGTGCCATCAGGAGCCATCATAAGCAAATACTATCAATCATTATCTGTTTTGCCCAGTCTGCCTGAGCTATCAGTAGGGATCCACATAGGGAAATACAGTGTCTCCTCTCCTCTCCCAAGAAAAGTCCCTCCAAAGCTTGGGCATGACTTTTGTAGCTGAGACTCCAATAGAAGGGCTAGACATAATAGAACAAGAGAGCTCAGGGTATATATGAACCTGAAAGAGATGGAAGGAGCAGAAACCCATAAATACCTATTTTACTCTTTGGAAACATAGTGCCCTCCCTGCCTCTTTCCCATCAACTCAAATAAACTTGGAACCCACTCAGCCAAATGCTTCAGATGGAAGAGAAACATGCCCTGGTAGCAAGTTCCTGCTAGAAATTTAATCTTGGGCTCCTCCTTGTAGTCCAGGAGCACTGTCACTAAGGGCAGGTTGCCTTGGGTGTCTCATTTTTCCATCCTGCATGAACAAAAGTATTTATTTAACACCACCTCTCCAGGGTTCCCTCAGTTCCCTGGTCTCCAGACCTTTTAGTTTACTTACAGCACTGCTAACTGCAAACTGATTAGTCCAGTCCCCCTTCCCTTCTCCCCCATGGTTATCACTTTTATTAACAGCAAGGGAGTGATAATGGGGAAAGATGATCAAAGCTGCTGGTATTAACGCAGAGGATTAGCAGTATTTATATTCCTGATCAGTGCAGTCTCAGTGTGAAGAGGGAGCTGCCACAAATCAGCTTTTTCCAACTGAGAGTTGCTGCAGTGCCACTGCCTAAATAGCTCCTGGCTAATGAGTCCTTTGCAGCTGGCTGGGGGAAGAGCTGTCTCACTTGGCTACTGCCCTTGGGATATATAATGTGCCCAGGCTGGCACCCACAGCGACATGAGGGTCCCTGACCTCAGGTTCCAAAGTGTTCTTGAGGTCTCAGGGAAAAGGACCCCCACTGCTGAGATCAAAACAACTAAAGCTGAGCAAACAACTGAACTGGTGTGGCCAGTTCATGGTGGGATTGCATCATTATCACAGGAAGGGAAAACACAGTTTCCAGCCCAGTCTGGGAACTGTGGGAAGTTCAATGAGCACCATGCTGGGGGAGGGAGGGGAGCAAAAAAAATCTGTGCCAGGTTTTACACATAGGGCAGGAGACTGAAATCCTCTGCAACCATCCAAGGAGAAGAGATGTGGTTTTGCATATTGATTCCAGTGAGATTCCAGCAGCAGTGGCAGGCAGGGATGCAGGGACAGGTAGGTTGGCAGCCACCACCAGCAAATCAAGGGAAGAGGCTTCACCTGGCAGGGCTGGAGATCAATGCAATGAGCAAAAAACAAACAGAGGATGCTGAGAACAGGGACACAGGAGATGCAGAATTTCACTTCACATGGAAGAATGAGAACCCACTTCTCTTCTGCATCCCCTGAGGATATTTTCAGGGACTCCATGACCTCATCCCCAGAATGTCACAGAAAGGCCCCATTGCAGCAATTCCTTCCAACCACAGAGCAATATATAAATGTTCAGAGATAAACTGAGGAACAAAGACAACTCCTTCCCACACCACCCAGTCTGTGTAAGGTGATCAATACTGAGCCAAAGACACTCATCCAAACCCAGGGCATTCTATAAACAAATTTTCACAAAAGGCGGGAGAAGAGACATCTTGTCCACCAGCTTCAGGCAGATTTTGCTGTTAGCCCATTAAGAAAAGAGAAAACTGGGTTTGATGTCCAAGTTTGAGCACTGTTATTTGGGCCATAACGGGCTTCCTCAGGAGAGCTAACTGGAGATTGAATGGGAGCTTTTCTTAATTATTGCTAGTAAGAAACAAGGATCTTGAAAATGCCATTTTTTTGCATGTAATTTAGGGTCATTAGTACCTTCATGACCAGCTAGAGTTATCTTTTACTATCTACAAAACTATTTCTTCCCCCCAGCTCCAACCTGTTGTTCACCATTTTCCATCTCTCTTCAATGCAGTGCAATAATATTGTAGAGGGTTTATTTATATCATCATAATTGGTTGCTGTGGAGACAATCATTATGTCACAAGTGTAGGCCAGGGAGCTCTGGCTGCAGAATGAATTGCAAAGGGGCCATGAAGGTGAGCCCTGTGGTTTTCGTGCACACTCCCATCCTCCCACTCACACCGTGGACCATCTGCATTGGGACAAAAGCCCAGCTCCACCTGCAGATGTTGGTCCCACATGTGGCCATGAGCAAACATAAGCTGATGTGCTCTGGCAAAATCTCAAAGCAGTTTTTATTCACAGAACAGGCAGTGACAACTGAGGGGACAGGAGACACAGTGGTGAACTATAGGAGAAGGTTGGAATAAGAGCACGACTGAGGCCAACAGTGATGCTCCTAAGCCTCTTCCACTCCCACCCCACCAATTCTTGAGCCCCTCTCCACATATGTGCCAGTAAAAATGACTCTGAAGGTGTTGCAAAACCATGTCTGACCCATGGGGACTAATGAACATTTTATACAACCCCATTACTGTTTCTCACTCATCAAAGCTGTTGTGGATTACCCTGCTGTCTCAGCATCACAGCACAGTTCAACCAAGATAGAATTTTCTGGAGAAAACCGTTTTTTCCCCACTGGCTGCTTCCAAGCTCTTGATACCTAGTCCAGTGTAACAGCAGACTGTCATATAGGATGATGTGGACTTCTTATATTCTCTATCTCCAGGATGTGTTTGTCAGCAGGTCATGCTCTGCTTGGGTTGTGTGTATAAACAGAAGGACCAAGAGATGGAGGCAAGAATTTACTCCATGTGCTGCATCCATCCAAGATCAACAAAACCACTCACAGATTGCCCTCCTCATCATATCCAATTGAAGGTGAATGTAGAAAAGCTGATTGGCAGTAGTGGGCTCTGGATAAATGGAGCTGTTCACCTTGGGATCAGGAGTTCAGAGGAAGGTCAGTTCACTGTTGACCACCATTCATTAGCCTCTGGCAGCAGTTCAGCCTCAGTGAAATAAGGGGCCAGTCTGGCTTGGGTCCCAGTGGAGAGAAAGTCTGTGTCACTGCAGTTGCTGTGCTTGCTGGACTCTTGGCTGGCCCCACAGGGAAATAACAAAGCAGTTCAGGGAGCCCATCTTCATGGCTTAGCACCTTCCTGGGGGATCAGCTGGAATAACACAACAGTTTCTGCAGTGTCCCAGTGTTGGTCGGTGCAGACACAACTGCTGAGCTCCAGCTCTGGCTCACAGCTGAAGACCAGGTGCTGCCACCAGAGAATTACAGCCAGGAAAAGCTCAGACTCAGATGGGGGAGGTAGGAGAAAGGTTGAAACTGCCTGTGGAAGAAGCCCAGAGAAAGGCAAATCAAATGACTGCAGAGCAGCTCACAGGGGAGGACAGGAGGCAGAAGGTGAGGTCAGAGCCTCATGTGAGGATCCTGCTCTCACCCATCACTGTTGCACAGCTTTGGTGCTGTGGGGAGAAGGAGAAAAGCCTTCCCCCACCCTCCTATCCCCCTTTGTCCTATGCCCAAAGCAGATGTGGGTTCTACAGCCCCACAGCCCACTCCTGTGGACTTCTCCATTGCAGGGCCACAGGAGACCCTGGGGAGGGAGGGAAATACTGGCCAAATGAACCATCCAGGTGGCCTGTGGGCCTTAAATTCTGGTACATGCTAAAATAAATGCAATAAACCAGGTCAGTATCACTTGCATGAAATTCACTTATTGTTTTAAATCATCATTATCACCATCATAATTAAAATCAAGCAACAGCTTAAAGAAATTAATGAATATTTTTATACGTGAACTTATCATGGGAAGGGGGGAAAAAACACAACGTGAAAATGTGCCTGTATTGCTAATAAATATTATTGGAGGGACTCCCAGCTTTTCACATTACCACAGTGTGATATGACAGCCTATAATGGATTACTCAACTGCCCGAAGCCATTGTAGGAATAAATCCCTTTTAATATTCATGTGCGGTCTTTGAGAAAATAGATGTAAGCAGTTAATACTTTTCTATAGACAAAACAATGCAGTTTATCAAAACAAAATGTGTGCTTGAAAACGAAAATCACAAAGCTCCTGGACTCATTCTATTTTTTTTGCTAATCAGAAAAAATAGGACCCAAAGAAAAAGACAATTTGGGGAGCAACAGTGCATAGAAAGCAAGATGGGGAGAGACAGGATATTAGCAGATGGGCAGGGACAGGGTCAGTAGAAAGGAGAAGAAGGCATAAGAAAAATGAGTATTTTGTGAATCTGTGGTTGTAAAGAGAGCACCAAAGGAGCTGTGTGAGGAAGGTGTTATTTGCCAGTGGGGCTGGTTGGTGCCCTATAAAGCTCTCAGTGGGACAGGAGGTAGTATATGGGTGGCAGAGGAAGATCTGGAGCTTCCCAGGAAGGAGGCACAGGGCTCTGTGAGGTGTAAGGATGCTGCTGAGTGATGCTAGGGCTTAGCCATGTTTATAGGACAGTAAAGGATGTAGTAAAAGAGGTGAACAGCAAAGCCTATGTAGTGCCAGCTGAGGGCTGCTCCCTCCCAGCCCCTCTGCTCTATCTTTCTGCTTTTCCTTTTGCAGCTGGTCTATAAAACCTACCTGGTTTTTAATCTCTGGTTTGTTTGGGTTGGTTTTTTTTCTCCCTTTACACTGCAGATCAAGAGCAGCAGCAGCGTAGAGGATTTGTAACTTTTGTGTGGTCAGGAGTGAGGGAATTGGAGGTTAACCCTTCCTGCCCCAGCTGTTTGTGGGCAGTCGATGCTTGGAGGGAAAAGCAGATAGCAAAACAGTCTCAGGGACTGGAGGGAATGGCTGCAGCCTCTCAGAGGTGAGGGGGCAAAAATGAGAGATTCGATCTTACAGCACTGGATGCTGCTGTGATGTGACCCCAACTTTTATTTGGCTGGTATTGTCTGTGGCTAAAAATGGCTGTAGATGTGTCTGAAACTGTGAGGGAGAGAGAGGCAGAAGCTCTTCAGTTCTTCTTCTGCTGTGAGATCTAGGCTTCAAAGACAAGCTCAAACTAAAGCATCAGGAATAAATAAGGCTCCCCTGGGACTCTTGTGGCTTTGATATCCGAGGCTGCCTGGTGGGTGGAAGAGTTGAGTCACAGATTCCTTCTGCTTGCCCATGTTCTGAGAGAGCCTCTGATGACACCCTTTTGTCCCTGGCACAACCACAGCAAAGGCAGCTGAGGGTCTGCCTTGGGTTGGGGTAGGTGCCATCCAGGCTGAAGGAGACACCATGTTCTTGAACCAAATTCAGCTCAAAATGTAGCTCAAGAGACTGACAGTGCTCTGAATGCTGCAGCCTTGGTAAAAGCTGTGATTCTGCAAAGACCCACACGGTGCTTAACTGGACCTTCTTCCAAGTGCCACTGCCTCCCAGGGACCTGCTTGAAGGAATCCAGGACAACACATGTTGAGCTAACTTCAGCACCCTGGGATCCTCCCTGCAAAATCCTGGGGGAAAGGACACTATCCTTTAAGATATCCAGTTTTGTTATTAGCAATTGCAATCATTAGGACATGAAAAAAAATCCATTAATTACTGTATTAGTGTGTCATACCAATCCACTCAACTTTCTCACATTTTATTCACACGTAATTCCCATGGAACAGGGCGGTTCTCTGTCTGGACAAAGCTTCAGCTGTGTAACCATTTATGTAGCCAGCAGTGTTGGAAAGATTCTATAATTAGAAGTACTCTAGGAATGCTTGTAGAGGCAACATTTTTCCTACATATCTTCATTAATTTATTGCAACATTAATCTTGTCACTGTAAACACCGTGAGAGTCTCTTTAAATGCCAGATAGTTTTATAGACTGTTTTGGGTGATATGAAAGTGGGCCAGTTTTATAGGTCATATATTTCTTTGAAATGGAATAGGTCCAGGAGACAATTGGGAACCAGAATGGGGAGAATTCCTCCCACCCACCTCCTTCCAGCAGAGCAGAGGTGTTTCTTGCTACGACAGGGAAAGAAAAAGTTTCACCTTCTAATTGTTGTATTGAGTAGCTCATTGACTGCACTTTCTGTTCAATACCTTTTTTACCACTCAGATTGTCTAATCAAAGGCTTTTTCCTTCCTTGGTTTAGCTTTGCAGCCTCTAGCATTGATCCAAAATCAGAAACGAAAGAGAGAAACAGGCTCTGGGAAAAGAGAACACAATTAACACCCAAGCAGCTTCATTTTTTGGGGTGCCTTTAAACATCTTGCACTTCTCAGTCTATTCTCCCATTCTTTTATTTTCCCTTTTGTGTTCCGGAGGTTTCTTTAAGGAAAGCCTTTATCAGCTGCTCAGGGAGAAGATTAAAGGACCAGGCACCGAGAAACAGGTTACTTTTTGTGTCCAAGTTCTTAATTCACTTTATTAAAATGTTCCAAATCTTCCTTCAAGAGGAGAGATCAGAAGGACATTTCCCTGTCACCCCTGGCATGCCTTCCTTCCGGATACTTGTGCTTCATTAGAGGCTAAAAAAAAACCAAAGTCGAGGCAAGGAAAAGAAGAGAGAACAAGACTGCAGTGACTGGTTAATATGGGATGTGGAGCCTTCTACTTCATGGTCACTGGTACTGCTCTGGCCCCGGGCTGGAAGCAATTGAAAGCTTTTCCCATCTCAAAGACACTTGTGTGAACCGAGTCAGAGATCTCTGGCTATTTTTACCTTTGAGGTTCAAAGAAGAGAGCTTTGCAGTGAACAAAGCCAAGCATCCATCCAGCCTGCTGCCCTGCTGCTGAAAGCACCAAGGAAAGGGCACAGAAAGGGTGAGGATATTGAGTCTGATTTTCTGGGTACGTTACCTGCTCCCCCAGACCTCAGGTCAGGTATTGCCCATCTGAAAAAATGGCTCTCTGTGGTTAATAAACTATGATGGATTTTCTTTCAGGGCATCATCTGATCTTTTTTTCTGCATATCCACAATACTTGTTTGGTCTATCACGACCCTTCCAGAGCAAGGCTGAAGGACACCAACACAAGCTGCTTGCCTGGGCACTTCTGATCTCTAGGAGTGCCTAAAAAACACCTTTTTTTATATTTAGTTTGAAGGCTTACATATTAAGACCCTTGGAAACAGAAACAAAGCATATGATTCTTCTGGGAAGCACTGGGAGATGTCTTGGGGGGAAAAAGCCTTGATCAGGTCTAAGTCCCACTTTGGATCTGGCATCAATTCCTCATGCAAAGATGTTCACCCTCACTCTCCTTTCCCTTCCTTTCTCTTTCCTTCCCCTCAGGATTCTCACATTGGATTTTCACAATCTGTCTGCCCTGACCCAGGATTATGGACACAACACAGTGCAGGCAAGCAGGGAGACACACCACCTCCCACAGTGGAAAACTGAAATAAGGATTGGACAGAAACTGCTCCAGATAGCCATGATAGAGGTCTAATGAGCCATCTGCCATGACGGCTTTTCCATGTACCCTGTCTTGGTTTTAAAAGGCCACTTGCTTTGCATAAGTAGCTGCTGTTTTGTAAAGCAAGTGTACACGATGCAGACACTCCTCGTGCTTCCTCAGGGTACAATTACTTTCTTATCTGTCTTGTACTGCTGTTTCTCTGCAGCTGAAGTAAGTTCTCCAATGTGAGACTGTAGGGTTAATCCTTTGAGTAGGGAAAGTTTAAAAGGCTGGAGAAAAGCGTGGCAGCCTAAGAGAGCAAAGAGCAAGGAGGTGACATCATGGCAGGCAGAGACGAGGAGTAAGGTGTTCCTGAAAGACAACCTTCGCATTTCCCATCAGTGCTGACTCATAAAATGTCAGGTTCATTAAAGGTGAAATACACACAAACTAGAACATGAGCAGTTTCATACTCAGCAAAGCATCTATGCAATTGGCTTTTCCCCTGCATCTTGACACTTCTAAGTCTTCTGAGTCAAGAGTATCAAAGTAATTTGATATTGAAATGTGTCATCAAGTTAATAAAAGCATAGTTGAAGGCTACATTTTTATTTATTATTCAAATTACTCAATAGCTCTTTGAGGCCTTGGCTGCAACACAACCCTGCTTGGAACTCAAGAGGTAAGACCCTTCTGCTCCTACCCCAGTGAGTGCCACATCGCAGGGGGGAAGCTCAGAGGGCACAGAGTTCCAGGTGTGGGATCCTGTTGATTCCTTTGCCTTCCTGAACACCTTTGACCTGCCTTTGCAGAGCCTCCTCTCACTGCAGGAGAGGGAGCCCAGAGCTCAGATCGCTTGCAGCAGTCTCCAGCCACTCAGTGTCACTGCTGTGCCTTAATCACAAATCACCTCTTTTCTGCTTTTACAGCAGGCACAGTGCCGTGTTCCCTGCCCACCACCACTCCTGTTCCAGGTGTGGCACAGTTCAGCACTCTGCCTGCGGCTATCCCGGTGTCCCGTGTTTATCTAGTCTCTCCTGATGGCTTCCACAACATATTTGTTCTATTTTCAAAGCCCTTTTTTAAGCTGCTTTGAATTCCCTTTGTGTTTAAAGATCCGCTTTGCTCTTGGAGCTCCGTGCACCCTCACCAGCCAGGTTTTAAAAGCAAGGCCGTCGCTGGAAGTTGTCATTGATACGTGATGCAGAACAAAATCCAGCTCGCTCGAATGCAGCTAGATTGGCTCAGCAGGGCTGACAATGGATGAACTGGGTCTTATCAGCGGAGGGAGCAGATAGAACACGGGAGCAGCATGCAGGGAGCAGATAGCAGCTCTGCGAGAGCAGACAGACAGGCTGCTGATAGAGCAGGGCGGGGGAAAGGTATCACTTTTATTCCCTGGCTGGTTTTGAGGCCGTTGTTTCAAAGCTGGCACCTTTCTGACCACAGCCACTGCATTAATGGGGAAAAGAAGCAGAAGTGACGGACAACTCAATGGAGCAGGGCTGTGATGAAAGGTCTCAGCGGGGCGCGTTTGTCCAAATGAGCCACTGCCTCCCCACGAGATTTATTCCCTGCTCCAAATGCATTTGTTGGATTTAACGACAAGTTGGTGGCATTTCTGCAATTAATCCTATCAAAGGGAGGTGATTTTACACAGAGCTGGTCCCATATTTCCTAGGCTGTGTTTTTGTTTATGAGGAGAGGGGCTGCCACCTGTCTCCCAAGTCTGGGCACTAGAGTTCATGGAAAGGAACTGTGGGCTATTAACCAAGTGTCTCCTGCTGACATCTGAAAGCAGCACAGCTAAAAAATACAACCTCAGATTGTCCTAACAAGCAATCTCCAAACTGTAAATATGCAACAGTGAGAGAAAGTATTTCTTTACCAGTGAAACACTTTAATGAGTGGATGGCTCAGCAAATCTTTTATGCAGCTGCTTTCCCTGCTGCAGATACTGAGATTTATGGTAGGAAAGGAGGGGAGTTAACAACCACCCAGGGAACTGCAGCTCCTGTATAATGGGGTTCCACCTCATGTTCCCATTTGACTGGTCTGATCCTTCTGCAACTCTCCTTGGATAAACCATTAATGGTCCCATTTACTGGGGTCTTTGGGACAGGTATGGAATAGCTCCCAGTGCCAGAAATCATGACTTGGCTAAGCAAGAAGGAACAATCCATCCTTCCAATGAGGGTACTGATGACACATACTCAAAGATTTTAAATATGGAGTGCTCTTTGAATACTGATGATCTCATTTGGAGAGAGAGAGAGAATCAATGGAGATTGTGTATTTTTGCAGTTCTGAGCTTTTCCATGTTCTCCTCCAATGGAGACGTTCCTAAGCTCTTTATCCTTCTGTCCAGTTAATGACGTTTCTAATGAATACTTAGAACCAAAACCAAAATCACAATACCTGGTGGAATGGAATCCAAAAGAAACAATCTTCTTCCATGACAGTGGTCGACTAAGAGGCAAAAGAATTAGCATTTTCAGAGGGTCCTTCCTGAAGATCACAAACTCCAACAACAAAGCCTGTTTGCAGATCAGGATCCTCAGACATGCAATTATACAGCAATACAAACAAACAAACTACAAAAAAAAAACAACAAAAATAAGCTCTAAAACCCAGCACATTCTCAGCTGACATCTGAGCTGGTCCTGGAGGCGCTCTTGCTGTCATGGTGAAATTTTCACTTCCCTTGGACCTGATTTCCCAGCTGGAGGAGAAAGCTCACACCCTGACTTGGCCTTTGGCAGCAATGCATTCATCTGGGAAATTTGCTGTATCAGTGACAGTGTAGAACAATTTTTGTTATGACACCACATCTTATTTTGAGCAATTTAATAGTCATAAACCCAGAAACAGTCATCTTCTGATTTGAAAATAAAATGTCTCTAGAAACTGTTGCTGTTACCACACTTTGGTGTTGCAGACTGAACCATTCAGTCTGTTAGTCATTGGGAAAAGACTTACCTAAGATAATCTCTAAAAGCATTTTCTGATTGATACCTATTTGCAAAGGCTCTGAAGACAAACCAGCCAGACACAGAGACTCAATGAAAGCTCCTGGAGAATGTGAAGGTCTTGCTGCTGAGGACACACAGATGAACACATCAGCAGAATATATAAGATGCTTTGCACTTTTCTTATTTATCTAAAAAGCTATTTTTGTTTATTAAAACCTAGTTACTAGCTGCATCTTGCCAATAACCTGGAGTGCTTGCTTGGTTAATTTAAGCAAGCAGAGCTTTGACAAAGTAATTTTACCATCCTCGGGGATCTGCCAGCTTATGCCGGTCTTCACTATTTCAGATGAAATTGAGTTAATTTTCACTGAAATTGCTTCTTAGCATACAAACACATTCCCCATCATTGCGAGCTTATGCCTCTGCAGTTCTATTATTCTTTAATTTACACAAGCCGGCAGCGAGGGATTAATGCCTGAGACATACAAAAGGCTACAGTGTGGAGAGGAGAAGGCAAGGAGAGAAGGAGAGATGGAGCTCTGCAGGGAATAGGTAATGGTGTTTCAGTTTTACAGTCAAAACATTCAAAGTCCGGCATTAATACGGAGTCAACTCTTGTTGTCCTTTCGCTCTGGAAACACATCATGCAAAGTCTCAAGGCAGAAAACCTCTCAGATGCTCAGTCAAGCCAGAGGTGATGGCAGGTCCCTGCAGGATTGCCAGGCTGAGAGGGCATTCACTGGGATATTACAAACAGCTCCACAGCAGGAACTGACTGCAGGCAGCCGAGGTGATGTGGAGCAGAGCTGCGGGGGAAGGCCAGGCTTTGCATCTTCCACAACACTCTTCCCTCCAAGAGGAGTTCTCCCCTTCCACCCTCCCCGTGCCCTGCCATGAAAATGCTGCTGCCAAGGCTCTGGGGATGCCTTCAAATACTCAGAAATTAAAATCACAGATTCTCATAAGCATCCAGACGAAAAATACAACTAGTGCCAAAGCACCTGCAAATGGGTGGAAAAGGGGGATTCCACTATCTGGCTTTTCCAGAGAGAACTGGCAGAAGTGCCAAGTTCAGCAGTCCTTGTAAAGTCTCAAGTGAGATTTTAAAGTAGCTGCATTTTAAGCTAGTCCCAGCTGATGATTGATCAGAATAGCAATTATGCTCCTTTTTTATGTTATCACTTCAATTTTGCTTCCTTAATTAAATAGCTAACTATTTCCTCTTTTAATACATACACCTCTGAGGTATATGCAGGTTATTGGATAAAATATGGCAGTCCTGTATAATCTATTGGTATGCACATAGCAATGTCATAATGGGATGTTTAAATTCCTTATCTTCCTTTGAAGGGCTGCTTTCTTTTTCCTTCCCCAACTAGTACCAGTGCCACATCAGTGCCCAGTGCATATCAAGATCCCATTCCACTGCCCACACGTCGTACATCCATGCCAGTTTGCCTTTTAGGGCTCCCCAGGGAGCATTTTACCCTTCTGCCAATGTCACAGATGTTTGGCTCTGAGTCCAGTAGAAGAAATATTGCTCTTTTTCCCCAGTTTGCAGCCAGCACTAAACAGCACTGGCCAACACTTCCTACCAGCAGCATGATGACACTTGACTCTGCCTAACACTAACACCTTAAGCTTCCTTTATCTCATAACATTCCCTCCTAAAAGCTGTCCTGGTTAACTGTGAATAGAATAGCAATGGGGAAGGAAATCCTCAATGTAACTCATGTTGAAGAAAATGAAAGGAAGTCTGGTTCCCTCCAGAAACAACCTCACCATTTTGCAGGGCTAGCACTGCTGTAAAATCCCAGCCTCTTGAGCAAGTCCTGGTTGAATCCAGGTGTAGATCATGGTAAGCAAGGTTTTGCACTAAAGATTGACTCATGAGAAACTCCTGTGCGGATAGAGCAAGATCAAATTTGAGAACAAGATAAGTGTCCCTCCCATTTGCAGAAAACAGAGGAAAAAGCTGAAAAACATTAATGGACAAACAATTCCATTGAGGTGAGTAGTAAATACTTAAAACTGTCACTTTCAGCCACATGCATTTGGGGTGCAGCGATTATCAGCTGGTGGAAATTCCCTCTGTTGGATCTGCGTGACTGTTTCTCGAAAAACAGCCCAAAAAGTTTTATTATACCAGTGATCTAAGGCAGGGTAGCACCAGCAACACAAGCACAGTAAGGATGACTGGGACCAGTGGCTCAGGCAGGTGTTCTTTTCCCTCCCTCTGCCATCCATGAGCAACTTCTGCCATTTTCCCAGCAAAGTTATTGCAGAAATCAACTCCTTTCAGCTCAGCTGAGTTTTAGCTTCATGCATTTTTATACACTCTCTGCAAGAATGAGAAGGATATTTACATTTTTTAATAAGCCTGACAGTTTGAAAGTAATTGGGGATTTATAATGGGTTTGTTTAGGTCTTTTTTCCACTTGAATTCCAACTGCTAGTCTTAGGCCTAACAAGCAATATTATCTCTATGGTGATGAGGGAACCTCAACAGGAGGCCCTGAAGCCAAAGAGGAAAGCACTGGCATGTTTTGTTTTGTCATGGTTTTTTTTTTTCCCTTTGAACCCGCATTTTAAAGCAAAAACAGCATAACAAAATTTGAAACAAGATCGAAATTCCTCCAGCCATTCAGTGCTCATAACTCTGGCTTCTTCCGCTGGTTCTCCAAGGAGCCCACAAGCCAGTGTCTGATCTCCATCATGATGGGGTTTTTTATTCTTGGCAAAGATTTGCATTTATTTGCTCTATTAACCCTATAAAATTATCTTAATCTGATTTTTCTTTTGGGGGAGTCAGGTGTTTGGTGGTAAGGATGGAATTCACCTGCAAAGCTCAAGGTTTGGAATCATGTTCCTGCAGGTAAATCTCAAGGACTCAGTTCTGCATGTTCCTAAAATGAAAAGGCACCTGCTCCCAGTGGAAGAGATAAAGGAGTGAAAGCCAAGCAGGGGTCTCATCCAGTTGTGATAGGGGGTTTGCTGTGGGGACACTAAAACCTCGGACTCCTGTGGGTCTTTCTGGCTTCCTTGACACTGCTGAGACTGCAGTGCTGATGTGTCCAAGGGCCCTCTAGGCAAGGGGCTGACATTTCACAGGTGATATGCTCTGAGCCTAAATGTTAAATCCTATCCTTGCTTCTTTGTGCCTCAGTTCCACACCTAATTAAGAGAAGAGAGAACAGTCCTCTTCTGCAAAAGTAAGGACATAAATGCAATAGAGAACAGCAGGGCTTAGTGTTTAAGTAAGAATTGTCCAACAAAACCCACAACAGTCATAATGAGGAAAAAAAAACAGGACTAGCACTGTCACCCTGCTCAGCAGACATCAGCACATGCCTTCCTTTCAGTGAAAGTGAGCACCAAGCAATGGTGATGCCAGGGGACATTCCCAACTTTGGTAAGGACAGAGCCTCTCAGCTCACATCTCTGTGCCTCAGACCTCCAGGGCATGCAGGACATACCAGATAATCCCTTCCTGCACCCCACAGTGCTGTTCTTTCCTCAGAGCAGCTAAAACTGTGCAAAGACTCACCTTCATGAGCAAAGCAGAGCCGGGATGTGGTCACTGCTCTTGCTTGCTCCTCACTGAGTGCTTTGGGTTGACACCCTCTGGCATGGGACTGTGCACTCTTAGTTCTTTCCCCTGTGGAGAGCAAGGAATAGACAAAAAGGACGATGTCTATTCCTAGTGTTTCCTAACTCCCACAACCCCAGGAGAGGCTTCTCCAGCACCCTTGCAGCAGACAGAGCTGTTGTGCCTCTCCTTGCCCTGGCATCTGTGGCAATGCTGCCTTATCCCTGCTGTAGCCTCCCAGCACATACATCCTACATCTGCAATGATGCTCAGGTCTCATCTCCATCTGGGAGGGCAGCAGGCAGCAAGGAGGCTGCAGGCAGGCTGGTGAGACACATGGAGGGAGAAGTGGGAGAAGAGTCAAAGTCAGGGAGAGGAGATAAAGAGAGGTGGGATGGGAATGGGAGAAAGGCAGCAGGGATGAGAGGGGAAAGTGGGAAATGAATTGAAATGAGTTAGAAAATTCCAGGCAGATGAGCTTGAGCATTCAGCAGCTGAGATGTGGGGCCTCATTAGTACAGACCGACTGAAGATAGAGACATTAAGGAAGGAAATGTGTGACTCACGGGGGAAAATGGGAAAAACAGCACACACCATAGCAGCTGCTCCGTTTACTTCAATTAAAGAACAGCTCAAAGGGTATGTTAAAGGGAAAGGAGGGGGAAGCAAACAAAGGCACAAACAGCAGAAAAAAAAATCCAACCAGATGAAGCAACTGTTACACTCAAGCATCTAAATGAACTGAGTCAGGTATTTGAACGAGGGGCCAGAATTCCTCACCCTGTCCCTCCAAATTGGTTGGGCTGCCCAGGGAGCCTGGAGCCAGGTACAAGGCAGTGAGTGCTCACAAAAATACTGTCCCAGCTATCAGGTGGGGAAGGGGAAGGCATTTTTCCTTAGCATAGCTCCATGGCACCTGGGGAATGGGCAGGCAGGGTCCTGGCTGCACCTGACCCACCAGCCACAGCATCTGAGGGAGGGAGGACAGCAGCAGCAGATGTTTTAATCACAGCTACAACTCACAGCAGAGCTGGGGTGCCTAAAGGGAAGCAAATTGCACTTGGCTTCAGGGTAGTGGGGAACACTGTGGCAGTCCCTCCATCCTCTACTGCCACCCCACAGCCATCCCAGCTCACCTGTCCCAGGCTTGCTCAGCATCAGCCAGAGCCAGGCAGCCTCTCACACCTACCTCACGAGTCACCATACCTGGCTAGGATGAAAACACTTCTCTTACCTCCTTCTGTGGTGTATGGGGATGTAAAGAGCTCACTGAGATGGGTTGTGCTGCTTTTTCAGGAAAAAAAAAAAAGATTGACATTAATTCTAGCCGGAGACTGTAATTATTTCAGCCACACTGGTGTGAACATCCTGGCACCGGGAAAAGAGAAGAATAAGCAAGGTGACACCCATCTCTTCCTTCCTCCAAAAATTGTCAACCCTAATTTCTCAGACCTCGTGGGCATTGAGAAATGTTATACTAAAAAGGTCCTGGATTGCAGTGAATCCTGTTTTCAGCTTCCAGGTGATAAATACTGAAGAAAAAAAGTGGACCCAGGAGAAAAAGCAAGACGCAGGAGAAGGAAGGGACAGAAGAAATTTTCGTGCCTCTAGATATTTTCTCCTTGCACTTTCTACCGGACAAAATATGTTAAGGATTTCTAGGGGAAGAAAGTTTTCTGTTTGGAGCCCCCTGACTGCCATAGATCTCTGCTTTCTTTACGGGTGCCCTCTTGTAGGAGGTTTATCACTCTGCTCCAGCCGTGACACCAGCCTGCAAGGGTTAGTTGCTTTGCTTGGTTGACTGAAGCCTCAAATCTGGAGGCTACTGGGTCAATCCTAACTTGTGGCCTTCCAAGATGATCAAGACAGACAACTCCACAATGTCAGAAAACGCCTACTTTCATCTTTGGTTGGGGTAAATCTTTGCTCAGATTCTATGCTTCTCTCCTTAACTTTGTGGATGTTTCCCAATTCCTGGATACACCAAATCCATGACCCCCGGCTGACTCATTCCCTATATGAGCATGGCAGTGTATTTCATGACAAAGTCCCATGGTCTCGGGATAATTACCTGCCCAAAGTCTCAGATGGAGAGCCTAGATACAAGCCAACTCCCAAACTCCTGACATTTATCACTCTAAAAAGCAGCCAGTGGAAAAGCAGCCCCCATCAGATAAGAAATGTCAGTCAAGATTTCAGTGCAGTCGGCTGCAGCTTGTAAAGGACACATCACAGTATATCTGCAGGACAAAGTGTGGTGAATGTTAAATCTCCACAGCGTGGGAACCAGCACAATGGATCACATCTCCATACGTGATAATGGGAAACTCATCATTCTCTCACACAAACTTTAATGCCAAAAAGTTGCCACAGAGAAGCACCGAGGACACAAGGGCTTCTTCTTCAAAGCCTCTGAGATTGGCAGCATTAAAGGCATTTGCTTTGAGCTGGCTCTGTGTTAAGCTTCCTCTCCGTCCCTTCATCTCTCCCCAATCAAGCTGTGCCTCAGCCAGCACCCAGTTGTTAAATTCTGGATGGATTAAAGAGCTTGAAAAAGTGCTTTTTTAGGAAAGTGATGTTTATCCATCACTCATCTACGTGAGTGTTAAATTTCAGATCTTCGGCTCCTCTAATGATTGTTACATGGTGGTGCATTCAGAGCCTTTGCTTTGCACAGTAGTGGGGATGTTTGATCTAAAGACTTCTCTTTGCCCAAGATTAAATCTGAATTTGAATCATCCTTTGGGGTCTAATTGCATAGGATTTTGGTGACAGTGCAGCAGGGCCACAGAGTGTATTGGCAGGAAGAAGAGGACAGGAATTCCTCAAATGATGGAGCCCAGGAGATTTCAATAACATTTTGGGCGGAGAAGAAAATGAAATTCAAAGACAGAAAAAAAAATAATTTTCCTTTGCAGTGCTAAAAATTGAAAAAGGGGAAGGATAATCTCTCTAATTAAATTCTTAGAATTCCTGCAGGCTTCCAACTATTGCCAACTTAGAAGAAGTATTGACCATTTTCAGACCCTCTCTGATGGAACTGTGGGTGGACAGGGTTCAGACTGACAGTAAGTTCTTGAAAACTGCAAAATTTTGACACTGCATTAGGCATAATTATACCTGTCAAAGATAACATACTCCTGGAGATTTCTGTTGCAGAGCTAATGGCAGAGGGACTCTTGCAAAACCCTCCACAATAATTTCTGGATGCCTCAGGCCTTCAGGAATTATCTTGACAGGATGATGGCATCTTGCTGTGCAACAGGAGGCTCTGCTTCAACTACAGGTGGTGTGGGACCAAGCAATTTGAAGCATCTTTGCTTTTCTTCACCTGGAAAACTCCACCCTTTGCACTTCAGCAGTGCCACCACTTAGAGAAGCACAAGAAATATGAAGTCATAGAATGGGAATTGCCAGTCAGCTCCTCTAGCCTGTCACCTCCACTAAAGGGTAAACACTTCAACACAGCAAGGAAACACAAGATGATACTGAGCTTCATGGTAAGACAAGCCCTTTTTTCACCCCTTCTCAGTCCTAAAAATTACGTTAAAAAATAATAATATGTTCTCCCCCCACTAAAAAAAAAAATAATCTGTTACAGGGCCAAGCACAGCACTGATGGTAGCCAAGAAACACATGCAATAATTGCAGTATCCCTCCCTGGTCCAATTTCTTGCAAAGCCAGCAGTGTAAAGGTTGATGTGAAGTTTCCCCCAGAACAACAGCTTTCCTCCCCACTACAGAGAGCTCAACCACACTAAGTAGGAAGGAAAGATCTGTGTTAGAGTAGGACAGAAACCACAGAACTTGCTACAGCTTTTCCTCAGCTCCTACTCTAGACTATCCCAGTGCCTGCCCTGCCCAGGTGGATCTGGAAAACTGCCTTAGAGATCTCAGACAAAGACAGTCCATGCCTTATACACGTGGGCATGAGCCAAGGAACACACAAAGATGTGTCAGGACTGCCTCAGAGCCTGCTAACCAGCTCACCTGAGGCTTTTTCCTCCTTCCCAGTGGCTCTTCTTTCACTACCACACCACCACACCCTTCCAGCTCCAAATCTGCATGCCCTGTGGAGCAGGAAGGTCAGCACTCAGTGTCAAAGGATGAAACATTGAAATCCTCTTCCAGTAGAGATTAAATTAAGGGAGAAAGGATGGAGCATGCCAAAGGCAGTGAGGCTTAAATAAAAGCTCATTGTCTTCACCAGGAGCTGGGTTTGAATGAGAAGTTCAGGATTTGGCAGACTGTGTGTACAGCATTGCAGAATGACTGCTATGTGCATGCAGCTAGTTTTCATGCATAATATATATAGAGAGGAGCATACCATATGTTTAAAGCATCAGACAATCAGGCCAATCTTGGAGGATATTATAAAGTGTTCCTTCAGTGTTGCATTTGTTCTAAATAGATGCATTTCTCCTTCTCCCCCTCCTCCTCCCCAAGCTTCTCAGCGTGCCAACACTCATTTATAAGGAAATCAGGTGTCCATCTTTAAAAAATGAAATAAATCAGTATACAAAAGCATCTGTCCAGTAAGAAAGCAAGTGCCCATCTCTTCTATTTTTGTTTCAAACAGGAAATACATTCATAAACAAACTAACAAATGGACAAGCAAATAATCAAAACAAGGAAAAAGAAGACATGAAAACTCATAGGAATTAGGTTCTGATTTCTACAAAACCAAATGCTAATTATGCCAGTCCCCAAATGTACAGAACAGATAAATTCAAGAACAGAAAGTGCACCAGTGATAGCAGATACGCTCTGGATGAAACATGTCCTGCATCAGTTATGAGAAGGGCTGGATGTTCTTGTCTTTAAAGTGTATGGTTTGATTTTATATTAATTCATCATCAGCATCACCGGTCTCAGGGGCTCATCTCTGCTCATTATAGGTGCTTTGCATACGTGGTTGGAAAAGCACCACCATCTGCTTTGCCTGGTTGCTGCTCTCTGCTGTCACCGTGTCACCCTGTTAGGGAGCTGCTGGCAGCCCCTGCCTCACACAGGAGCTCTGCTGGGCCCTGGCTCAGCCCAAGGGGGTGCTGGGTGTCCTGGCAGCAGAGCAGCTCTGACACAGCCCAGCATCTCCAGCACGCTGGGTGCTGCCAGCACAGGGAAGGGATCTGAGACAATCCAAGACCGACCCACCTTGTGCACATCATCCACGAGCAAGAGCAGCTCTGTCCTCCTGCAGTGCTTCAAGAAACGTTGCCTCCATCAGTCCTTGGTGAACAGCAAAACCACCTTGCAGACAAAAGCCAGCAGGCTCAGCAGCAGAGCAGCTGGGAATCCCCTGCAGCTGGTTCCCTGTCCTTCACATGGAGTTCCCTCCACTCGTGCGAGCTCTTAAGGCCATGTTTTATATCCTAATTAAACTGAAACAAAAGGAATTGGATAACAGTCTAAAAGATTTGCAAGCTACATGTATTTCACAAAATTACTCCTGTTCCCACTAGTGTAGCTCATCAGGTCCAGCACATGCTCTAATATGTGGGACTAATAGATTTGTAACAGTGATAGTTAATATGAGTCTGTTCCGGTTACATACTTATCATGGGTCCTTGCAGGCTTTCCATCAAAGCTGCTGAATGAAAGCACTTTTTATTAAAGAAAGAAGGGAAAAAAAAACCTCTTTGCCCATAAATCTCTCAGCACATTAGCCTTCAAAACAATTCACTGAGGCAAGGTTGTATTTCCTTTGCATTAATTTAGATCCTTGGAAAGTTCAGTGAGATGAGAAGACAAGACAAAACACAAAAGGCTGCGTTTTCAGCTGCCATGAATCAGCTGCCATCCCATCAGCTGAGAATCCAACCATACATCTACAGAGAGCCATAGGAAATATGCAACTATTTCTTTAAAGTCTTGGGTTCTGGTACTGATAACCCATATGTTGTATTATTATTTCAAGAGAAAGGTAGAGACTAAAAGGACATGATATTTGACAGGTGAGAGCAGCTTTAACAGCCCAATAGAGAAAGATTTTTTGATTTCAGCAGGAGGTTTGCCCCATGGTGTTGGGGGTCACTAGGTTTAAGAGGGGAAAATATTCTGTTGCTTTGTTTTGTGTCCAGGCAGTATTTCTGTGGGACATGATGCCAGTCACAGGGCTGGAGCAGAATGTGACAAATGAAGTCACAGAGGGACAGGCTGAAGTGAAGTATCTGATGATGATGCTCTGCCTCTCAGTTATCTCCCATCCGCTGCTCTGAGCAGCAAGGAAAGCTGCCAGCACTGTCCCTTTGATACCACAGCTCTCTCAGTCATGTTTACACCCTTCAGATATTTTTAGGCCTTTTTTTTCCACATGCAGAACTACACGTTGTCATCTCATAGCCTCGTTTAGTGGTTTGAGCCTACCCACATAAATCATTTTTCTCAAACATCTGATCATTTAGTGATCAGAAGGCAGAAAGGTGGTCTGGTTGCTCTTCTTTTATCTTCCTCCCAGGTCCTGTTATCTAATCACGTCATGGTGGCCAGGACCAAGAATGTGATTTGTTTCAAGGACAGATCAGAAATAAATAGGGAAGAGCTGTTTCTTTCCCAAGGCAGAATTTGCCTCTGTGGAAGCAGACTATTTTATTTGCAATAATATACTAATTCAAATTGATCTCAAATTTTTCATCCACTGGCATTTCAAGGACCTCCATGCCTTACCTGGAACTGGTGGACAATAACTTGTCAAAACTCTTAATTGCTGATATAGTTGGAGGAGAAAGGGGCCCCTGGAAAACAGTTTATGGTTTAGAATGAATAATTTCTAGTAGAAGGAACTTGATTTTTAAAAATTATTTTAACAATAAATCCACTCTTCTCCCCAAGAAAAAAAGATTTTAATCTTCTTCACCATGAAATCTCTTGCAAAGAGATATTTTTCTTCCAAATTTCTTCTTTTTGTGAGTTGTTTCAACTCTTTTGGGTAGCGCTCTTGCACATACATATATTTGGTAGGTCTATCAGAAAGCAAATATCACATTACAGTAATGGATTTGTGGGCACGATCTGGTCCAGCTAGACAGACAGCTAAGCACTGTAAAGAGTTCTGTCAAATAATTATTCTCATCAAATTTCACTCTCCATCATGGTCACGTTACCCAGATCAGATCCTTGGTTCTTCCGTAAAAGTATCTTAGAATATCCCACACAAACAAGCTATGCCAGATCATGAAGTAGCAATGCACTCAACCCATTATTCTGTGAAGAAAAAGCTTTTACAGGCCAAATCCAATTACATGCCATGCTGGTAACTTCATTCCAGAAAACCTTTGTGGCCAAAAAGGTCCATGTTACCCATTATGGGGCATTTCTTAGCAAAAAATCTCCCACTGCTGCAACCACTCCTCCCCATCCCACCCTTGCAATGACCTCCAGCAGGTGCCAGATCCCAGCAGGTTGTTGGCACAAAGGTGAGGAGTTGGGTGGTTGGGAGCAGCATGGCAATTACCCAAGGCTTGACAAGGTGCCCTCCCTCTGCCCACCCCTGACTCTGAACCCTGGCACTTCCCAGCACAAGGACTCCCAAGGCAGCAGGGATGTCCTCACAACCAGGACCTGCCTATGGGTTAGCACTCCATCAGGTATTACACCCATCACTGTACATGACAGGTCTTGCTGCTGTGGAATGTCATCCTGCCTCTTTTTGGGCTCCCTGGGTTCTGGAGGATGGTGGGTAACCATAGAAACAACGCTGTAAAACAGCGTGGGAGCTGGAATAAAGTGGAACAGCCCTGCAACACCTGAGCACATCCCCCCCAGGAGGAGCCTTGTGGGATGGGCTCCAGCAGGGATGTCCTGTGTGCAAAGCCAAGAGTTGGCCAAGGACAGAGTTAGCATGGAAAGGCTGGCATCAACCATCAATGCAACTTAAAGTCCTTAATTTAAAGCAGAGAAACCCATCATCCTTGCACACTTTTTCATTCCGTTTCTGAAGGGAGCAGGTGATGCTGGGCTCTGCTCCATATCCCCACACAGCTTTAAGGCTGTGTTCACCAAAATCTCCTACGAGCACATGTAGGACACTGGAAATCTTGTCAGATTTTTCTGAAGGAAATTCAGTCTCTTCTTGGCTTGTTCTAAAGCTTGTTCCTGTACGGGGAACACTCTTCCAATTATACAGAAGTACTTAAATATGAGATATCCTAGAAAGAGTGGTATTCAATAACGTCCAGTAACCTTCAGGAGCAGGTTCCCAGATTACCATCATTAAAATATCAGCTTCTATTCCGTCAAACAGAAGCTGAATGCCTGTGGTGCTCAGATTTGCCATACCAAGGAGGTTTCCATTTTAACACTGAGCTTCCTGGCTTTCTCTCAAGACATTCCCATGAATCTCAGTATTCCATCGGGTCTGTAGATGGTACAACTGTAAAAGCCATGGTTTTAGGAGGAGAGAAAAAACAAATGCTCTTTCTCCACCTTCATTATTCATCTGCACTGGGAACAGTCACCACTTGGACCTGAGATTTCAGCCCAACATTAATCCTTCTCTTATATCTACACCTTCAGCTGTAGAAAACAGTAATGCAAGTGCAGCATTGTCTTACACTGACACTGGTATCTGGCTGTGAATTCTTCTACACACAGGACATGATAATAAATCATACACAGAGCATGCTGATCGATTCTGCCCGAGCAGTATGTTGGTCTCCAGGGCCAACAAACCAGCACTTAAATAAAGTTTCCTTGCTCAGTGTGCCATGCTGCAATAAAAAAAAAAGTTGTTGTGCATCCCAGGCAGGTCATTTAGCCTCCTGTGCAAGGAGAATGACAAAAAGATACACATGTAGGCATTAGAAAATGCTCCCACCTGATGTTCCTAAAGTGAGCTCTCCAACAGCTAAACGTTTCCCCTGTAGTCTTCCTAATAATTAAGGAAAAAATAGAGTCTTCTGGGAAAATTGTCACTGGGTAATTAATAAAAAATGAAAGTGAGAAAGCAAGAACTACAGGGACTTTGCAGAAAGCCTGCAAGTTGAAAGAGGGACTTAGAGTTGTGATACCTTCCCAGTCTCAGAGGGAACTTAACCTGTTCCACAATGGCTCACTCCAGACTCTCCACCTCTTCCATTCACACTTCTGAAACAAGAGACATTGTGATGGAAATGTTCACGCCCTGCCGAATTTCTCAATGACCCAGCATGAACAGACCTGCTCAAACAGATGGGGAATGGCTGCCAAGGACAAATCTCCAGAGTCCATCGGTGATCTATTACCAGGTGATCACTTGCAAATAAAGGTCACAGTTTGTTTTCTACCTGTGGTTTCAATCTGTTTATCATTTCGATGTGGAGGGTTCATTAAAACCCAGGAAAGGGGTCCTTTCTCTATCAAAGCAGTGATGCAACGTCCTTTTGCTTTAGAATCTCTGAAATTCTTGCCCAAAGAGCAAACACTCAAGCACATTTATCTCACAGTTCCCAAAGCAGACTAGAGTTTAAAAAAACCCTAAGCTTTCAAGGTCAAAATTGATGCTCTGTTGGGATATGGGGTTGAGAAACTATTGCTGGAAATGTCCATCTCCCAGCTCTGTCTCCACCTGCAGTTTGCCAACACGAGTGCCTAAGCTGTCACAGATGCTGAATCCTGATGGGAATCCTGAGAGGAGGGAGGATGAAGATGGATGGTCTTATGATTAAGCCAGAGGACAGGGATTCGAGGGACCTGGTGTCACTTATAGACCTCCTGTGCTGACTTTGGGCAAGTCAATTAACCTCTCTGTGCCTCTGCTTGCCATCTGCACAATGGAGATAAGAGACTTCCCTATAGCACAGGAGTGCTCGAAGGACACTTGTGTGGTTGACAGATGCTCTCATCCGATGCCAACAGGAGCCATGAGATTTCATTGACAGGAGAGTGATGGAGTGGAGAAGACCCAGTGCCATTTGGGGTTATGTAGCTTTGTGAAAACTCAATAGGTATTTGTTCTGCTTCCCTTGCACACCTGTCTGTCTCACAAGGCACAAATGCTCTCCTGGCCAAGCCCTGGCTGTGGGACCCCCTGTGTCTCATAGGATGATCCCACAAGAGCAAATGTACCAGTGAGGATTTTTGGCATTAAAAAAGTTATGTGAGTCTCAGAAATAGCTATGGAGAGGCCAGCCCTGTCTTACTTGTGGAAGTGCCTGAGATGAAATGTTCTGCTTCCCTGGCCTGCTGCCCTTGTGCCCATGGGGCACCCAGATAATTCCCCTCTTGGGGAGGGGTGTCCTGCCCATCACAGCCATGCAAGAGGCATCACAGCTGGCCCCACCTGTCCTTCTCTCCCACCAGGCTAGAGGAGCTCACTAATATCACCAAGGCTTCTAGAGCTCTGTAAACAAGGGAACATTATTTGCAATTATGTTTTTTGTTTTCTGGTTGTTGTTTTTGATTTTTTTTTTTAAGACACAAGAAAAGAAAAGCATTCCTGTGCTTTCAGGAAACACTATATTTCCCCTTCCAGTTTCACAAGACAAGTTAAAGCATCTAATCCTGACCCTGGCAAAGCCTGCCTGACCCTTTCCTGCAAGGCTCAGGGGAAGGATTTCTTTCCCTCTCCTGTTGGGTTTGTGGGTGGTTTGTTTTGGTTTTTTTCTTCTATTAAAATCCCATAGTATTATTAAAAGGAATTGTTCAATTCCTTTAATTGGCTCAGAAGAGAAATTCTTCCCTCAGCCCAGGGGGTCATGGCCATCAGCAGCTATTTATTAGCAGCATTGATTGAGAAGAACAGCCTTTAAATGGAAATAAATTGAATTCTATGGCAAAGAGTATCCCATACAGGCTATTAATATAAGACAAGGAGCTTAACAGTTTTATTTCGTATTTATTTTTTCCCTCCTCAGCTCATAGCTATCTTCACTACTCCCAGTTACCTCCCATGTTTCCCACCAACCATCCCCCCTCATCATGGGAATTCCCTTACCTACATGGGTGAGAGCAGGCACAAGGGTGATAATGATGATAGAGACTTGAATGAGCTCAGGGAGGCTCCAAATCAGGTCCCTGGGAACCAGTGGAGGAAGGAGGGGTGATGGGGAGCAAGATGAGACTTCCACATGCATGCACAATAGAAATGAGAGG